TTGACCAGAGAGAGAAAAGGAAAGTGAGAGAGCAAGCCACCAGGTCTAGGTCTTGAACTGCAGTTGGCCATGTGGGACTCCAGTGCCCTTAATCACCATGCTACCTGTTGGCCCCCAAACAAGGTTATTTATTAATTGGTTGATAAAATGTTATCACTTAGAGGCTTTTAAGAACCCAAATATATTTTTCTTGGGAGCAAAGATTCTGTACTTGTGATTTCAGACTTTGTGCCTATTTTATATAACATAATTTTGGCAAATAAGGAGAATTGATGGTGTGTATATATATCAAAGACTATTTTTAAAGGAGAGGATTGAAAGCTATGGGATATTAAGGAAGAGCTAATCAGATAATTGCAAAAATAAAGCAACGAGTGCTGTAATAGAAGCAAGCATGGGCTAACGAGAATAAACCTCAGAGGACTCTTGTTTTTAGAGCAGGGAGGTCAGGGATGGATTTTCAAAGATGAGAGTATATGCCCTGAATTTTGATGGAAACAATAAAAGAATCCATCAAATGCAAGAGAGGGAAACACATCTTATAGTGGCTCATTTTTAGTTAGAGAACATAGTTCTTTCATGGAACTCAAAATAGTTCAGAGTGGGCCGACAAGTGGCATGGTAGTTAAGGCACTGGGCTCCTACATGGCCGACCATAGTTTGAGTTCTGGACCTGGTAGCTTGCTTTCTTACTTTTCCTTTTTCTCTTCCTCTGGTCAAGTTTAAAAATAATAATAAACACAGTAAAATAAATCTCTAAAAAAAAAAATGTTCAGAATGGCTTAGCAAAGACTGATAGGAGTTTCTAGGCAAATGATGAGGTTTAACTTTTAAAATACTCTTTATATTTATTTTATCCTGACAAAAATGTGGAAGTTGAAGGTTTTAAGCGAGGAGGTGACAGGATTAGAACCAAGTTTAAAAACAAAGAAGGCAACTGAAGATGAACTGATACGTGGCAGGCCAAAAGGTAGTGAGATTGAAAGGCTATTGCTATTGTTGGGGAAGAACACAAGACCTCTTTAAAATTTATTTATTTATTCATTCATTTATTTTAATTTGACCAGACACAC